TATAATTGTTTCTTAGAATTGATACAAAAATGTACACATCAAGAGTATTTTTGTGTTCACCTAAAACTTAAACTCTTGATAATCTATTAATGTATGCAACTTGTCAAAGAATGCAAATGATGATAAAAATTTAGATAATTTTCAACGTTATCACATTATTTCATTCAAAAATGAAATAATGTGAATTTTGTAAATTTTTTAGAACAAATTTTATTTTTATAATATATTATTTAATTTTAAATCATTTAAGATATAAGATCACTTAAAATTCATATGTCAATATATTTTAATATTCATTAATTTATACTGAATATTAGAAAAAAATTTGTCTCTCTTTGAATGTTAATTTGATTATTTTTGAAGTTTATTACACAAAGTAAGTGTTTGAAATCAAAATAATTGATAAGATTATGTTAACAGTCAATAATCACAATGATCTAAGTATGCTAGAAAACACTACTACTTATATTGAAGTCAATTAACCAAATCTTAAGTTGAGATGATTCACATGCTAGATTAACACACATGAGCAATAATAACTTGACATAGCTTAATGATAAGAGTTTGGTATCTCATATTTAGTAAATATGCTACAATTTTTTCATGTAGCAAACTTTTTACACATGTAATTGAGTATAATACAAATTTTACTACTATGTGCATTTGTTGCAATATTTAATCTTATTATGTATCAAATAGTTGGAATTATAATATTTTTTATGCATATTTAGAGTAAATTCTACATTTGAAAGTAAAATGGTTTTAAAAAGAGAAACAATAAACATGTAGAGCTTTAAGCTAATTTTGCAAGATTTGAGTCTCATAAAGATTATTTTATAGACTCAGGTGCCTCTAGCCATTTGACAAGCGATATTTTCATGCTCTCATCTTTTCAGCCAAAATTATGCACTTTGAAGTTTCCACTGCAAATAGAGTAAGTTTTCTAGTTGTAGTAAAAGTAGTATTGCAGGTTAAGGCAAATAAAAGCATCAAATCAATTTTGTTTGTGTCCGGATTGACTAAATACTGATCATCTAGTAATTTTTACTCCCCAGTCATGCTTTGTTAGAGAAAAGAAGCGTCCAAAGCGAGTAGTCATGTTTGATGGACGCATTAGTAAGTCCAAATTGTATAGGATTAGCAATAGGTTACAACAAGCTAAATCTGCGCACACTTTCCTTCACTCACATTTCCACTTGAACTTCCTAACTTCATAGTATTCGCGAAAGACATAGTGGCTTTGGCCATTGATAAGTAGGATTCCACCAACTTGTGCCACAAGCGCATGTGCAACATCAATCACCAAACATTGCACAACATGTCGTCTAAAAAGTCTATTCAAGTCATTCCCTATTTGCAAGTAGTCAAGGATTGAAAATGTGAAACTTGTGTACTTGCCAAGCAACATAGACTTAGACAACCTAAACGTGTTGTCAAATGAACGACTTACCCCTTAAAGCAAGTGCATAGTTACTTGTGTGGATAAATTAATAAGAACATTGAGTTCAAACACTTACTCATGTTGATCAATAATTACACGCCTCACACATTGATCACTTTCTTCGTTTGAAAAGTGAGACCTTTCAACAGTTTAAAGATTTCTTAAAGGTACAATAGGGTATATTTTGTGAGCAAATTCAATTTCATCCACAAAGTGCACTTGATGACACATACTGAGCAGGATTGGTCAAACACTGTGACAACTCTGAAGGCGTTCCGCAGAGGAAAATACTTATTGGTCAAATTGATCAGCTATCTTGTTTAGAAGTAGATTCAGCAACAGCTAACAACCTCATATACACTGCATCAAAACAAAATTTCAGAGAGAGAAAATCAGACCTTAGGGAATGCAACACGCTGCGTTTTCAACTCGAGTTGAAAAAGCAACAAATCGTTGCATTTGATTTGCTTGCATTTTCAAATCAATTGCAAGTTGAAAGCTAAGATTAGATTTAATTAGTTAGATTTTCCGCTAGACCTTATTGGATGTTAGCTATAAAGATTGTGGAGATTATTGTTTTCATCAAAAGTCTAATACTCATATGATTAATAATTTATATAAGTATATTATAACCTAGTTTGATTTGATAGTAAGTTATATTTTTGTTTATGTTGTTTTTATAAAACAAAGTCCGCAAAAACTATTCTTGATATTTTTGAATTTTCACACGTAAAATTTTCTATTATTCATGTGAACAAAGTCCAAAAATACAAAGCATGATTTGATGTGTATCCTTATTTGAATTCATGCATCTATAAATCTTGTTACATTATTCACTTTGCAATAATAGATCTTCAATTTTTTTCATGACAATCATCAAAGAAATATGAGTTTCCTTTGTTTGAGTGTACAAAATTCAATTGATAATATGCATTAAAATGATCATAGAATTTTTAGAAATTTGAAAATTAAACTGCAAAAATTTTCAATGTAATTTCATAAAGTGCATTCTGAGAGAATAATAAAAGTTACAAAATTCACTTATTAAGAATGCAATGTTGTTTTCACATATTTTTTGCCACAAATAGTAATTGAAAGAAAATTTCTGATTTTAATTTAGCTCTTACATTTCAATATCTTGCCAAGGATTTATTGAAATTTGATATGATATGATAATACAAAAAGATAAGTAACATCAATCTACAATTTATTTTTTGATATTTATTTTTTGAATTTAATGCAGTTCATAAGTTGAGCATATCACATTAAAAGCCAAAAATTCAAAATAATCACTGAAAAAGAACAATTCAAATGTGAAACTTGATAACTAGTTTTTGAAATTTTCAACATATTTACAGATGTTTATGTTTTATTTTATAGATTTCAACGTGATAATTAAATGATAAAAAAATTGAATCATAAATGTTAAATATACTCAGCTATCAGTATTGTCAGTCACATAAGATTCAAGTAAAATCATCAATTTACATAATTAGCAGTTAAGTCTTCACATAATATAATATTAATGATAAGATATATTAACATTCAATTTTAAAAATCTATGCACACATATAACAACCCATTAGCTTTGGTACTAGCATGATGAAAAGATACAAGTTAGAACTGAAACAAAGTTTTTGAAATGCTTAGATTCAAATAGGAAAGCGGAGGCAAGAGGACATTATGAAAGTGGAGTTGTCAAACTGTTAACGATTTCAATACCGATACTCTCAAATTCTTAATACTTTTTTCTAATAGTTGAGTTATTTGCTTGATAGGACCCATGGTAACCTAAATTGGTTAGTGGTATGTTTAAATTTCGTTTTGTTCCCTGATACATGCTTAAATTACACTTCAAGCATGTTCTACTATGAATAGACGTTGCAACTTGCATACTAGTGATTGTTAGGACATACTTGCTGTGCTTTCAATACACTACTCTCACTGTGGTCCACTAACGGACCTTTGTAACACCGGTGACAATCTTCCCCGCACCATGATGCCGATTCTGCCCCACCATTCACCTCCTGAGCTTGGATCGGAGCTTTAGACTTCTCCGGCGCAACTGCTGAAGGGTCGGTCACACGTAATTGGACGTCGAACTCTCCTCCTCCGAGCCATGAACCCCATCTCCTCCAGATCTTCGTTCCCCAACCAGCTAGGCTGCACGGCACAGCTCGAAGCGCCGCTGGAGTGCGAAAGAGTGCTCTCCGGGGACCACGCGGGATGCGGGGGTGGAGAAATTGCGGCAGCCATAAGGCAGAGGAGTTTTGTCAGTGGCGTGATGGTTTTCACGGTAAATGTCGACGTTGGCAGAGAAGGGGCACTGGCCGGGGAGCTCGAGAGGATCATCGTGGAAGGAGATACCGCTGGAATCGAGATTTAGATCCCATTGCCATTCGAAAAGGGAGCGGCCGCCGGCGCGTCACCGCCTGGAAGAAACTGCTGCTCAATCTCCCCGCTCGTCGTCATGGCGTTCAGGTAACTCTCATCGAAGAAAAGGGACACCCAATCCTCTCCAAGATCGGCAGTCTCCACGCTGCTGTCCATCATCAGCGCGTTTCTCGTCCTCGAATCTTCCCGGAATCGCCATGTCTGTGGCCATCGAACTGTCATTGTTCGGATTGACCCCATTGTCAGCTTCCACCACCTCGACCTCCATCACCTCTGGACCGAAAAGCACTCACAAAACCCAGACGACAGACCGAGAAACGCGCCTCCGACGACTACTTCACGAGGTAGATTTGAAAATCTCGCCAATTGTCCCGAGCCATAGAGAAATTCTTAACGATCACGACCACGAGATCAGCATTGGACCGGCCTGCCTGGTGCCGCCTCGACACGATCCGTCTGCTGCTTAATCTTCCCGTCCGATCTGAGCTCTCACGCTACAATCACACCGAGGGTTGAGACTTCAACGCTCCACGAAGCTCTCGATCGATTCCCACTCCAGCAATTATGCATCCCCGATGCCTCTGAGTTTCTCGATTGGAGTAGACGCTGGTTAGTGCAGATCTTGTTAGTAGATCTGCACAGAAACTGTCAAATTCTGGTGATGTGTTCAACTTCGAACTTCTGGTGATGTTCTTATGATCTTTGAACTTGTCGGAATTCTGAACTTCGAAGTTTCAAACTTATCGAACTTAGTTTTGATCTTTTGAACTTCGAACTTGTCGAATTTAATTCTGATCTTCGAACCCGTAGAACTTTCCAACACTACAAGTTTAAAGCCCTTGTAATGTTGTGGGTGAACAACCGCCAGAGAGAACACAGAGCTAGTAACCATCTGCGATCCTTGAGGTCCACTACATTAACTTTTAGAAATTCGCGACGGTGCGTCGCCCACCCCCCGAGGGTAAATGAACCCCCCTCAACAGAGCTTATTGCACATGCTAAGGTCTCCGTGTTCGTTGCCGAACAAGAATGAGTGCAATGCCTTTGCACAGAAATGGACTTGTGCTTTGGTGGGTCCATTGGGTAAAACAAAACTCGATGGGTCCCATCAAACGATTTAGGTTAAGATGGTTTCCATCAAGTATATACCTCTTCATATTTACAATAGATTCTGATGAGCAAAAATAAGACTTACAGTTCCTACTCTCTGATCTGCAACCAAAGTTGGTTTTCCATCCCCTGACAAACTTCTGGAAGACTAGATAATGTTTCTATTTCTACTTTAGAGAGATATGAATCCCCAAGCAAGACACTCAAAAAAACTGGAGCTGCAGGCCCGGAAATGGATCCAGGAACCGATAATCAACCTGATCGAATGATTGTTACTACCTCGATTCATCACATACTCTCTTAATTTACAGGTCCCTTATGATACAATAAAAGGATCCCATACTCAAGGATTTCCACGGGACGGGAATCTTTCTTGCTTCGAAAGTTCAGACTCACTGAGTACACTTGAAGACTGCTGCGAACTTTCAATTTCCTACCACTTACCGCCCTACGGCGGAGATTGAGGTAGATATGTCGTAGGACTTGTGCCATTGTCCACCAGCAAGTGGAACCAAAGAGAACTCTTCTGATATGTTAACCTTCTTCGCCAGACTCTTAACCATTTTTGAATCTGAGGTCTCTGTCTTTCGTTGAATAGTGTGTAACTCCGAAACCACTTCTTTCATGGTTGGCCTATCGTGGCCATCTCTGCTTACACACTTGATTGCAAGCTGCAATACGAGCTACGTAAATGAGACCTGAAACATTGGGAAGGCTTTCATCGGTGATACTAGGAAAGAAACACACTTCACAGAAGGACGTATGTTGAGAAGTGCTATCCACTATTCATTTTCACTTGGGCCGAGATATTGATACCTTGGCAACTGCATCCATGGCTTCCAGGGTGGATGGACTCTCCACGGCCTCTGATAATATTGGATCAATGATATTCGCGAAAAGACCCTGTTCTCAACCAGGAAAAGGAACGTTTCATCATATTAGCAAAGAGAAATGCCAAGTCTAACAGAGGGTGAGATGCTTGAGAAACGTAGTTGAGTGAAGACATCTCGTTTTACGCAGCTGAGAAATTCCGTCGTTGAGGTCCAACCACAGTCCAAGATTTCAGTATAAAAACAAATCAGTTCAGAGGAGTTACTTAAATATATATGATAAATGGTAAATGGTATTATGTTCCTAGATATATATATATACCACACTTCAGCGCAGCCTAGTCACTTTGTGCAAACGCATTACGCCTAAGTAACGTCTTAATCTGCTGCCAACCAATGTCTCAATCGAGCACATCGAAGAACCCTGTAGTAAGGCCTTGGAGAGGGAAAATAGGTCTAAGAATTGTACAAACCTGAGTCATCAATCGATTGCATTTGTTGACAAGATTTTGATCCCTAGGCTGTCTTTGAAGATCCACTGGTCTCTGCCCAGTGAGAATGACGAGTAGCAGTACACCGTAACTGTATACATCTGATTTGTCCTTTAACTGCAGGGCACAAAGAAGCCAATGCAAGACATGAGTTCCAGCGACATATGTCAAGTCAATTCATACTTCGAGATTTGTGAACTCATCTAGGAGTCGAATTGCTGAGCTCTTATGTTCAGTATGGAACGACTTTTCGAACTGAGGCAACAACGAGATCTTCAACTTGGGTTGGAGCTCACCTCGTACTGGTCCAAAAGCCCTGGGTCCTGTCAGGATCAAAGCATAAACTTTAGTATATGGTGAATGTTTACGATTTGAGACCAAGGAAAACAGAAAACTCACAATGAGTAACAAGAAATCTTGGTACGAAGTACAATGTGGTCTGGGATTGTTCCTCACGGGGAAACTTAGCCAAGAATATAGTCTCGATAGATAATCAGCCGCGGAATTACTGATATTAACAAATTGAATCCTATGCATTAAAGCCACTGACCATGATTGATACAGTCATCTTGAAAGATACATATGAACGAGGTTGACTTACCATGTAGCCAGGAGTACCTGCAAAAGTAACCAACATAACAATCCCAATCAACGAACATCATCCTGGAACATCGTTGGTTGACTAAGTGCTCATCGCGTTTTCACACAAGCCAGCCATACATCCAGTAGGACTGGTACTCTAAACAATCAAAAGCTGAGTACCTTCAGTAAGAAAAAGGTAGATCGAGAGACTCATAGCAGCGGTCACAGTAACGCGTACCTTGTATTGCAGTTGGGACAGCATATGCAGCTGTGTCCTCGAGGGGGACGAGTTTCGACAAACCAAAATCAGCGACTTTTACGTTGTAAGCGTCATCCAGAAGAATATTGGCGCACTTGACATCTCGATGGTAAACGGGTGGAGACGTCCCCCAGTGGAGATATGATAAACCCTCCGCTGTCTCAATGGCTATCTTCAACCGTAAAGTCCAGTTGAGGGGGGGATGACACAAATCGCTAGTGTCGTCAGCCTCTCCCTCAGTGGACCTTTGAGCTTCCGTTGCGCGTTTCATTTGGATGTGTTCGTCCAAATTGCCATTAGAGACGAATTCGTATACTAGGACGGGTACCCGTGTCTCCAAGCAGCAACCCAGCAATTTCACGAGATTCCGGTGATTCAATTGCAACAGAATGACAATCTCATTGACGAACTGCTTCGCCTCGCGTCGTGTCTCGCCCATTCCGTGTTTGGCCTTCTTGACGGCCACCTTGGTTCCGTCCGGCAGGGTTCCTTCGAATACGGTGCCGAATCCTCCAGATCCGAGCTCGACCGAGAAGTCTTTCGTTGCCTCTCGAAGCTCGTTGAAGGTGAAGGTTTTGCAGAATTTGGCACCCTCTTTGTTCTCGATCTCATTCAGCAGCTCTTGCTGTGAGAAAATCGCTGGATCGAACGCAAGCCGCCTCCTCCGAACGAAACACCATAAAAGAATGCTGTTGATGATGATGAATACCACACCACCGACACTCACGCCTGTGTTGCCAATTCCGACAACGCATCAACAGTCGGCGATCAAACTAGGTCCGAAGTCTTGTACCTCACTTGGCCAGAAATCTTGCAACAGAATTATTGCACCTCACTCACACTTTCCGGACTACGGCGATTTATGAACTGGACATTTGAAACTAGAATTGCATTAATTGGATGGAAGCAGTGATTCTCGGCCAAAAAATGATATACGCACCGATAATGATGGTCAAATTGGAAGTCTTTTTGCAACCAGTTCCATCTACGAGACCGTCTCCGACAGTTCCACCTTGGCACATACAGTTTACAACGCCAGAGTTGGTGTCGAAAAAACATTCAGCATCTGGGGAGCAGACTCCGGTCTTATTTTTACACTGGTCGATCCCTGCTCGAGTCAAATCACTAATCCCTCTTTAATCAAAGTGTGGTCCGTCAATTCCGATTGACGATTGTCAGGGATGAATTCCTGACAGTCGACTGGCGGGTCTCAAGTGACATCCTCTACTAATTTCAGATTCGATATCGGCACCCTTCACAACCCTCAGGAATATGGAAGAAATATGGAATATCAGGTCAAGAGAAACTTACAAGTGCAATTGGTAGCATGAGAGACCCACAGGCGATTTTTACCATCGCCTTCCATTTTGTCAGGGCATTTACACTCATAGCTCCCATCGGTGTTGACGCATGTAGCAATGCTGGAGCAATTGTTTGGCTTCAAACACTCGTTGATTTCTGGCATGAGCACAATTCATGTTAGCCAAGGCATTCCCAAGGTTACAGTCGATTTTCCGACCTTATCAAGTGAAAAGGATCCGACACATTGAAAGTATTAAGTTTCAAGCAGGCAGTGCGGCATTTTCGCTGTGCAGTACACTACCGAGATTCCCGCGACCGACCGAGAATTGAGTGGATAGAGGAAGAGGCTGAGGCATGCCATGCACTCAGTGAAAACGATAAAAGCGGCAGTTCCGGTCTCGGGAAGTCAACCAGTAGTTCTCATCTAAAGCTTAGATTTTCTAGGTAGCGAAGGATCTGGAACAAGACGGGCAGAAATCGGAATCGTAGATGCACGAGAAAATTATGAGCCTCAACTTGCCTTTACTACAGCCGGTGCCCAATGTATAACCATCTCCCTCGTAGCCCGGCCTCTCGCATTGACAGTAGTAGCCGTCGATCTGGTTATAGCATGTTCCATTATTGGAGCATTCATATTTGTCTTCATCCTTTGCAGCTTCAGCGCAGTTGGTAACAGTCGCATTCCTCTGGATTTCATACCACAGAGCGACTCCGTAGGTTCCATCACCAACTCCAGGCCCTGGTAGAGCAAACGTACCTGGGTATAGAAGGGTGGAGTAGCCACAATTCGTGAATTCTGCAAACCCTCTTCCTTTGCCTGACATAATCAGTTCCTTGGTAATATCAATGGACGTAATGCAGCAGTCATACGCGTTACAGTACGCCGCCACGATCGAGTTGGAACACGGAATTTGGTCGCACGACGTGCTGAAATACAGATTCTGCAAACTTAAACCCGAGGCCGATCCTGTGGCACCGCAAGATACGACGATGAAGACGTTGTTCTGAGAAATCCAGTAAGGGCTTTGCGCGTCCAGAGAAAGGCTGGCATTGACCGTAGCCCAACAACCCATCGCTTTAATTTGCGTCATATCTACGACTATGTGGTCAGAATATATTTGCGTTACTGGCAGAAAAGGCACCTCGAAATATCCATCAGTTATGGTGTTATTGTTGGTCCAATATTGTTGGAGAGTGGATGTGGCTTTTATGTAAGTCAGAACCGGCCACGGACCACGGCCTGGTCTATTCGACTTGAGATTTGGTCCCAGGTCGTCCCTGCACTCCAGCACAAAGTAGGAGTTGAAGGCGCATTGTGCTGATAAACCGAAGGGGTAAGGGATCGAGACGTCGCCGCAAACTCTCTGACAGTCCGGCACGTTGGAGTTGTTGGATTGCAATAGCATCCGGGCACTCGAGCTTGTCGCAGGTCTCTTCTCCGCACAGCGTCGGTTGTCGAAATTTTGCAATGCCAGGAAGGCGAGCACCCAGAGCACAAGCAGAGCCACCCAGAATCTTATACGATTCGTCTTCATGTTCGCCCACCACATTCGCAGTTTCCACCTGCCTGACTTCTGATCCCACTCATCTTCAGACGTCATGCACCGCGGATGCCCTCTGAGAATATCGATTCGTATAATGGCGTAAGCCCGTGTATGTACTATTTGTCAGCAGGAAGGTCGAAGTCTTGAGGTTCCGAACACAGATCGATCAAACTCCGAGGACTGGGTCGAATCAGCGACGTATTCGGCGTGTGTTTGTGGACAGAGATGTCTCGGAGAACAAGCATTTAGACCACTAGCTCTCTCCGTTCCCTTCGCTCTTGCGGCACACGTTCCCCTTCTTCTTCTGACTACTACCGAGATTATAACTTTTACATGCACATTTTTGAAGCTGAGCGATGCGCGTGCATCGGGTCCGCAGAAGACTCGGCTCGAGACTTTCTTCAGAGAATCGAGCACATCGTCTTGGAGTCTACGAAGACCATGTTTATTCAGTACACGCTGACTTTGACTCGGGGGACGCTACAGCCGCCAACTTGTTGGGAAGGGGAGGGTAGGTAAACTTGTCATTATTTTTATTCTACCCTCTAAGTTATCCGTTGGTTACGTTCACATCGAGTAATTACTCGGGTAAGAAGCAAGTATACTGGCATTACTTTTACTTTACGATCTACGTTATCCATTTGTTATCTTCTCATCTTCCCCTTTAACTTTTACCTATTATTTACTTGAAATATCTTTTACTCAAAAATAAAAAGTATTTTACGTTACCTTGCCAAGGCCTAAAACCTACTATGAAAAAGTCCGATGAAGTGATGTATGTTCCCGTCTCTTTGATGTATGTTCCAGTATCCTGTTCATTGGAACTTTCCCTTTCAATATTAGTTTTCATAGTTAATACTTGGGATCAAAATAGGTATATCTTGGGCATGATTGGAAAATGCTTTGAAATATTGCAGGTGTCCTTAACTTAACATAGTATTATACTGTGACAGATCGAAATGCATTCTTCTGCTCGTGGCTTCTATTGCAGTTGTCAATTTTGATTCCGTGTACAAGCGTAATGTGATTTGCGAGTTCCTATGCTGTCAGGGTATCACACAACCTTCGTCGACGTCAATATTTCAGAGTAGAACTTAGTGGCGCGTATCACGATCTGGCGGAGTATCTGGAATAGTAATATTGGGCCCGTTATGGAAATTCATCCGTATCATGGCGACATGGTGGTCTAGAACTGAGACTGCTGTGTTTATCGAGGATGAGAAATTTCTCTGATTGCCCTGCTTCCTCATTCTTTGTAACTTCTTGACATAATTCTTCTTAACATAATATCTAATAATAATCGTTCCCAAGTGACAATGTTCATGGTCTATGAGCTGAGTTTGAAATCCTGCCAAGTTTCAGGAAAACCTGATACCCGCTTTTCGGGGTTTTTATCGTGAATGGATGTCTCGTAGATAGTGCATCCAACAAATCGAAGAACAGTTTATCGCGAAATACACTGCTTTCATGCAGGAGAAGGAACAATCTGATTCAGATTACCAACATTCCGAAGGTCATTGTGCTTCAAAGTGGTCATGATCAAGTCTGATTCCGGAACGTACTCATGGATCTTCTTGTCTTTCATGAATAGGTCTGATGTCCGTACAGGTTCCTGAGGTTATCTCTAGATATCGATTGATTAAGTTCGTGAATTGCATCCACAAAACAAGTCCAACATATCCTCTTCTTTTCTGGCGTCTATTTCAGTCTAGCGGAAGAGTTTTCTGCATTTCTAACTGTCAGGCAAAGAACTGCAGCCTGTATTTCGAGATCTTAGACTCGAACCTGGATATACCTCAAATCCGCCGGTCCATTTTCAACCTACGCTGGCTATGGGAAGGAAACACTCCATGTACCAGGCGTCACGCAAGAACATTTTGTATGTCATGAACGACTTGATATTCTGATTTGATTTCCTAATGTTTGTTCGAGAGGAGGTTGACGTAGCTGGATCATTCAGATTACTGAGATTTCCCACTGCATGGTAAATCAGAACGCAACGACGAAGTTATTGCTGCAAGTACGTCTCCTGGCACATTCTTCCGAGCCGAAAAACTATGATGGAACTGAAAACTTGCTGAGAGATTAGACCGTCACATCAAATAATAGTTAAGAATCTTCTTGAGTCACAGAAATCTCAAATTGATTGCATATTGCGGATTCCATATGTTGTTTATCTCAACAAAAGAAATATAATTTTTAAACCAAAATATAGAACTTGAAAGTTTCCGCCAAATTTTGACCAAACTTTTATGTTCTCGGCCGAATTTGATGGCAATGTAATACACCTTCAATAGAGGAATGAGTGGTATTTTTTATTTGGGAATATATTTTTCCCATTTCAGCACTCATAAATCACTTTACACATTCAGAAAATGGACAACCTAACTTTCCAGAAAAATAAGATGATTTGAGTGAAAATATTCTTAATATTTGGAATAAGATTTATCAATCAATAGATTTTTGTGAGCATTGATTTCGTTATGTTCTCAGATCACAAAAACCAAAAGTTTTTTTTTTTTCTTTCATTATTTTATCCATGTATTTTTGTTCTCATAAAAGTTTTGATATTTTAGAATAATTAAAAAATTTTCTCGTGTTTTCAAAACTACAAATTATTTAGTCAAACAAAGAGTCAAAATACTTGAACTTGCGTGGTTGAACTCATCAATAGTCATTGCAAGGTTTTGCTTGAGTACCTCCGTTAGTTACTCTAAGTAAAACCACCGATATCCAAAAAAAAATTGTCACAAACCTTCATTGTAAAGTTTAAATTCAATCACTTCGTTAGTTTCTCTAGTAAAACCACTTGGATAACAAATACTTTTTTGAGTTGGAAATACGAAGGATTCTCAATTTCCATATTTACCTTATTTAGAGAGGACTGCTGACATCCATCTAAGAAGTACTATGACATACGCACTGTGTTGGCTTTAGGATTGGAAGCACAGCAAAATATTTTGAGTCATAAATGCCCGTATCACATTATGTACATTTAGCATATTCTAAGATGTATTTCTACGAAAATAAAATATTATCAAAATAAAATTATTAAAAAATTGTAAATATATGTATTTGTTTTCCTATACCTGTATGTAAAAATGCCCCCTGCCCTGGCCACGGGGCATGCCCTTTGAGGTTGGGACTCCAACCATAGTTGGCGTGTAAAGACTCACTTATCTCTTTGACTTGATGAACCAAGGAGCAGGACACAAGAATTTTGTCGTCAAAAGCGAGGAAACACTCCCTACATGCGGCAGCACTGTGCATTCGATGTGGTCTTCACGACATCCCGGGCAGATGAAACAAACGTCTTGGTCATATTCGACACTGACTTGCTCCAAATACTCCGTCGCCTGCAGACTCGAACTCTAACAGCTTTGAGCCAGCCCAAAACTCAAGGATCAGTCATGCTGCTAGACGAGCGCCAACATTCTTGCTTCACAAACTGTAACTAAAATCTGACCTCGAACGAATAATATCTGAACCGAACGAATTGCATGCGTGACTATTTCACATCTTCCATCAATTTTTAATTATTAGATGGAAGACGCTGCCTCCTCTATCAACCAGCAAGTAAGAAAGAAAGCACTGTTTGAAACTATTTGTGCGCATTAAATCAATCCCTGTATAAGTGATATGGAAGTAGAGGTAATATCAGTTGACCGCATGAATGAAAGTCATTCTTAACTTTCCAAAGCCTTCAGTTTTCACCCTAGACTAGAGCGAGGAGGTAAGATGGATCCGAATGATGATCAATTCGATTTATTCAGGTCTGATCACATGAGATGAAGCTGTCAAAGTAGGAACTGTAATAAAATCGGACCTCTCTCTCTCTCTCTCTCTCTTTCTTTCCATTGGTTTCTGTGGATCTGACTTGACTTTCTGCCACGCGTGGCTCGCTGGGGTGCAGTGCTTCTTACTACTTATGGGTGCAAAGGGGGCGGGACGGGGAAGGGAGAGAGAGAGTTGGAATACTTCCAGGAGGCATAAGGAACCCTGAGCAGAAATTGAGCTCCTCTCCTCTTTCGACCCCGATCAACCCCGACCGTATGCCCATCCCTATGAAGAAATCACCCGCCTATCGCGCACAATCTAGAAGCCGGAGGATGGCATACGGTCGGGGTTGTTCTAGCCTGCAGTCTCCGTAGTAGCATGTCTACAAGCGATTCGAGTCCTCTCGAAAAGTGGGAATCTCGTCATTGAGATCGTCACGCGTGGTATCGTTTGTCAACACTGGAGACGGACATTGATGAAGCTGTTAAAGTAAGAGCTGTAATCATATCTAAGCTCTCCTCCCTCTCTCTCTTTCTTGCCATTGGTTTCTGTGATTACGGTTCAAGTGAATCTTGACTTTCTGCCACTCGTGCTTCTGACTACTTCCGGGTGGAGGGGTAGTGACGGGGAGGGGAGAGTAGAGAGTTGGAGGAATACTTCCTGGAGGCATTAGGAAGCCTGAGCAGATATTGAGCTCCTCTCCTCCTTCGTAGCATGTCTACAATCGATTCGAGTCCTCTCCAAAAGTGGGAAGCTCGTCACGCGTGGTGTCTTTTGTCAACACTGGAGACGGGGAAGTGTTCCGAGTTGGATCGTGGGTAATAGCTTTAACAGGTCTGCGTGACACTACAACCTAACTCCTTAAAAGTGGCGTTTGCCATTTTTGACAACTTTTAGTTAACTCTGGCGCCTAACAATTCTGAAAAGTGTCATTTGTGTCGAAAAACTTTCGCAACAATCTTGAAGCCATGAGGAATTGAGCTTATCTCACGATAACTTGTTTCTACGTCATGGCTAATTTAGATTCCGCTCTCATGTTATGTTAACTAGACACCCATAGCCATCGATATCTAAAGAGAATTTAAAAACCACATAGCTTTTGTTAGTGAGAAGAAATGAGTTTGTAACAAGAATATTATACTTCAACTGAACATTGCCAACTTCCAAAATCCACACGACGTGAATTGTATTTCTCCCCAAAACCTCACATTAACATGAGTGACATCAACTTTCTTCAATCATGTGACTTGAGAGATATTAGATTTCATTACCATAATATTTTGGCATTGGAGTTTTAAAAAACATTCGCAATATATGTAATACTCTTTTCTTAGGATGCACAATGTACTTTTGCAGCCGAGACTCAAACGTCACTTCACCTTGTTTAGGAAAGCTTCCGTTGAGAAGGAAGGAGTCCCATAATTTATTCCACTCCAGTTCGTCCGATCGACAGGCCAGGTATCACAGGATCATAGGAATGACAGAATGCGACACGTTGTACAAACGCTCTATGGCACTACAAGGAAGACTCCGGTGCAGAAAGTTTTGTAACGACGCTTGAATCGCGAAAGTTTCTAACCGAGTTCCGTTTACTAAAATGACAAAGTCATCG